AAGTGAGGGTAGGCCGGGGCTTGGTCAACATAGTATGACAGTACTGCTTCAGAAGAATAAGGGAGAATTGGAGCTTGCTCCACGTGGTAAGTTGGTTTCGGTGCAGAGCAATAAGTGGGTTTCGGAGATAAGCCACATTACGTTGTCTGGTACCGTTGCAGAAAGGCAAAGGTGAGCTGGGCTTGATCAACGTAAAAGATGATATAGGCACAGAGGGGTAAGTATGAGCAGAGGCTTGTTCAGTGAAATACACCGGCTGTTGAGCTAGGCAGAAATTATTAGGTTTGGAGAAGTAAGTTCTGCAACACTCTTTCTCAACTCTCACGGCAGAATTGGAGCCGGTATAGAAAATTCTGGCAGTTGCGTCGAGATTTCTTAACTCTCGTGGGCCCGCGTTACTCCCGGGTTCGAGTTAGAAATGAATGTTACCTACTCTGACCCCTTAATCATCATCTTTATAACGAAATAATCAGACGATCAACTCCAACTCGAAAGTGAGGTCGCCTCCTTTCTCGACTCGCACTCCGCTGGGTTTTGGCAGAGGAGGATCAAGAAATTTTCTGAGCGATGGAGACAAGTGGTGGACACTCATGGTAGATATAAGACCGGTCAGAAGTTGTAAACAAAAGAAGATAAATTAAAATCAAAAATGGAAAAAAGTGTTGTAGGACTTCTTTCCAATCTAATAGAAGAGTTGCACCCATCAGGGGAAGCTGAAGTGGCCAGTAATTCGTAATGCCCACAACGAAGTTCGGTAGAACAAATGTGTAGTTGCATGCAAATTGGTCGCCTGTCAGTATGAAATACCTATTGGTGTCCTCTCATTAGGTTTTGGTATCCAGGGGTCTTACAAAGGTCATCATAATAAAAAAGTTGTGAGAGGTCATGACCTATATGAATGTACTTCTGATGCCCAGAACAAACATTTTTCTGATAGGTGAGTAGAACACTTAACATTTATTTATCTTGCCGTTTTTGTTTGGCACAAGAATTTATAATGTCAACTTCATTTCGTTCTCCCCTGCCCATTTTTCAAACCACCCATTTTATTTCGTTTTTGCACCTGAATCTACTGAAATCATATTTTAGTTCTGTAGTTTTTGAGGCTACGCCACAAACTGGTAATCAGTCCACTGTTGATGTTACACAATTTCATTGCGAGTAAATGACACTTGTTTTGTTTCCGAGGTTGCCTTGTTCCGTATTTCTGATAGTTCTTTTCCAATATGCCAATCTCTTATGTCGATTTCTAGAGACAAGGCGTAGCAAGTGACCTCTGTGCCTTCGCTCCTAATTGAGGTCACTTCGCGCCTTGGTTGGAGGACGCTTAATGAGGTGCGAAGAAATGATCCCTCGTCCCTATTTTCCCTGACCCGGTGGAGGTCAGTCTGTGACACGCGGTGAAAAGCTAGAATGTTCGAGGTTTACACTAGGTCGCCGAGAAGCTGCATCATGGTGCCCCCTAACTGGAATAGACCCCGGATTACTTTTTGGGGCAGCTTCTCCCATTAATACAGTCGCAGCCGGCTGGTAACTAAGATCCTAAACGATATCATATTTGCTATTAGTCTGAGAAACCTAACCGTTCGTTTTTTCTATCTCGATTGCCTCGAAAACACGATTCCAAACTTCCGGTTTCATACACCTCTATTAAATAACCAACCCGCTTATTTGCTTCCATTAAATGGATTCGTAAGTTGTCAAGCCAGTGACATGAGTTGGGGTGCATACATAATCTTGTAAATATCCATGCAAGATGTCAAAAAATTCGGCTAGCTGCGCATTCGATATTTGCAATGCAACCCAAGGGATCCTCCAAATCTGTCAGATCGTGCCTCTCTGATAGCTTCAAAACACTTCAGAATGAATTCTCGGTTGTTGCGAGTGGAAGCTGCGATCACTACGGCAACGTCATTTGCCATCAGAAAGTAGATGGGTTGCAGCCTCAATAGAAGCGCTTGTTAAGTCGAGAACATTTCTTTGCTATTCCCGAAAGGTGTAAACAATGTTGTTCCCTCTTTTCTTCTTGCAAAGCAGGATTATGACGCTCATCCGACTAAAGATGTTGGCCGTTGCGCTTGGATAATACAGCTGAAGACAATAAAAAGCTTCTCCTTTTGTGCATTACCCATCCACATTTTGGGAAAACGATCGCGTTATCTTCAATTATCACGTCATCCTATTCTTAGCTTTTGTAGAAGGAATGTTTATGCTTGAAACTTCTTATTATCAAAGAGAAGAAGTACTAGCTCACATTCGCGATGATTAAATCACATGCTATTGGTTGATTATCCGAATTGCAAAGTAGAGGGATCAAAAAAGAAAAATAGCAGTGGTTTGGCAGGACTTTGTCGCTGACCTTATCAATGAATGTTGAGTAATTACTACTTTTTTAACCGTTTGCCCAACCTTGAATTCTTGCTCGCTTTTTCCCAATACAGCAGTTCCCTACTACTCCCACGATAACTCAATTCTTTCAAGTTTTTTCTTGCTATCTCGCAGCTCCCATGCTGTCCTTGATGACGTCGAATGCTAGCGATATCGAACTCCATAGTAGTGGTCTTGGTTTTGTTTTGGAATCGTGAGTTCCGTTGAGGTGTAAATGGATCGTCAACACAAAGCAAGCTATTGATTGCGATGAGCAAGGCGAACTCATTTCGGAACTTATCAGTGTTCATTTTTATTGATTGAAATTCAGGGTAGTGAGTTAAAGGGAGTTTTTTTTAGCAGGAAGCCGGATTATGAACGACATGATTGCTTAACAAAATAGTTTGTATGATAAAATAAAAAGGCGCTCATGTCGTTAGGGGGGAGGAATTCTGGAAGATGCGAGTAACCCTTCTTGAACCTGGCATTTCTCCCCTCTCCTGGGCTTGGTCTGGTGTCACCTACCAACAGTTTTCAGATGTTATGACATGAATGGGCTATGAGCGTTTCTAAAAAATAATAAACTGTATGATTCTCAGTCCAAAAATTGCTGCAAAGGATCTCCATGTAACGTGGCGTGCGCAGAAAAGCTCATACTGCCACATTTCAGTAGCGACACCTCTAGTGTCTAATTAAAACATTGCATTTTTAAATGATGATGCAATGGCAGTGATGAAAAAGTTCACTGCCTTCTAAAAGAGTTTGGAAGTTTTGCAATAATATTCTTGTTTTTTTACGGTCTAGAGGTAAATTCGCTAGCTGTTCCTCGTCAGTAAAATTTCTTGTTACAAGATTTGTCTTATTGGATTTATTAGTTGACAAGTACTGATATTTACGTAAACTCACTTTTACTACACTATTTATCTTATATTTCAAGAACATCTAGTGAATTTTTGAAATAATTAGTTAGTCGTTTTTTTTTTCTTTTAAAGTACTGTTGATTTGTTCTTGTCCATGGATTTTGACTCAATTGTCGACTTCGTATTTTTTTATATTGAAACCATCCTCTACCTCGTTGCCTTCTGCACCCCTGCTGTATTTCGAATAGAAGTACTATACATGCTTTAATGTCCTTCCCTGCCTCCTCGGTTGTTGACGCACTAAGGTGCCTTGCTCCACTCAAATGTTTAAATAAGCATTTTCAACTCTAAAAGAATAGTCCTAGACATTTGTCGTCACGTAGTTTAGCATTGGGACCAACAAGTAATATTAACGAAATCAAAGATCAGCATATATTGGTGCAGAGACTCGGTGACTGCGGGGGTCTAACGCTAGGAAGATTATAATCAGGGATGCCAAGTATTTTGTTGGTTCATAATATCGCACCGTTTTTGTTCTGCACAATCATTGCAATCCTTGGTTCGAATGGTACACCTGAAGTTGCGTAAAGGTGTTATTAAGGATTTAGCTTCCACTTTTACCATCAAATACGGTTTTCTAGTGCGGCGTACATCGAATCAGAAGTCACCCTTTTCTTACCCCGGTGAACCTCTGTCCGGGAATTGATTCGTTTGTGGCACTCTTCGATAATTCGCGCCGCAAATTCCCCCAGAGCACAGTTTTGATCTGTTTGAAAACACCGAAGAATGACAGTTCTGTTGACGGCCGCATTTCCGGCCGCCTCGGTCAACTGTCCATTTTCCTATCTGTTTTCAAGATAGCCGACCCCTAATCAGACGGCATAGAATTGTGGCGCAAGAAAAACGTGACTCGAAAGTGATGTTTCGCATTGTGTAAAACAGAGCCATAGATTGAACTACATGTAGGAAAAAAACGCGTAGTATGTTAAAAACTCCTTGTCGGCAGTTCGAGGATCAAGCTTTGGCTTGGAGAGAGCGCTAGTCTTGAAGCCTTTCTTTGCGTTTCATTCGAATACTTTATTTTCAACACAATTTTTGACGTTTATTAGTAATGTTTTAAACTCATAGAATCACCTGTCACCTGTATCACCTGTTATCTGGTTGATCATCGATTTGTCCGAGCTGGTGAAGAGTGAGCAGTGCTTGAGAAATTCAAAGAAGCAAAAAGATTACACAATATCCTGGCATGGCAAGGCAGACCCCGCTTCTCTAGGCCATATGTTGGAGGGCTAAAACCGACCGTTGTACATACGCAATGCTCGCGATGTCGCATGGTAGACAACCGTTCAATTTATCCACAATACCACTTGGGTGAAGGACAGGCCCCCATGACTTTATAACAGTCCGGCAAAATTTTCGTTTGCCCGACTTTACTTCGTGAAGCCATAAAAGTATTTACTTGAAGCTATGTTGAAATCAAGACGAGCGGCAGTTTGAGTGTCGATTCAACTGAAAGAGTAGATTAAATGAAAACGGATTACGCTGAAAGGTCTTCTGCTGTCTAAAAGTTGCGGCCGCCATGTTGTTTCAATCAGCTCGTAATTATAGAAATTAGTTGAAATTTTTTTAGCGAATCGCCACAACCACTCATCTATTCCGCCCTAAAGTTCTACTATGATCTGTGTTTAACAATGCTTGTCCGAATATGACTGTGCGGCATTTCGCTTCGAGTATTGGCAACTCTAAATCCAGTTTGGCTCATGTACCCACGCTATGAAGCGTTCACGAGAACAAGTCACGACTACGCTGGGTTCGAAGTGGGCGGGGAAATCATAACACACTGGGTACAGTTCGAGAGTGTTTTTACTTGTTTCCTTTTGCTCAATGTAAAACTGTATCTACAGCCATTTGTGGTGAAGGAAGTGGGCTGGGGTAGTCCAGGCACTTTGCACAAAAATGTTGTTTCAGGCAGCTGTTCTGCTTTCATGGCTCCTTGGTCTTTGCCTGCTTTAACGAATAATGCTGGTCAGGGGAATTTAGCTCATCTTCTAACTCGGCTTTGATGGGAGTGACCCGAGCTGAAATGTTATTTCATCATGTTTATTCGATTGTTAGAACACCTCTGTTTTCCCGTGTGCCTAAACTGATGATCACCTCTATCTTTTGTTTTCATAAGGAGTTGAACATATATCTCCCTAAGGAAGTTAGTTGCTTGAGAGAATTCGATACATCTTTTTTCCAGCAGAAGTTCTCCGTGTTATTCGTTTGTGTCCACGTGCTAACCATCAGATTTGATCTGCTACTTATTCATACCAGTAAAATTTTTGGTGTTTCTTGCCAGCACCTATGTTTGGGTGCACGTCATTTGGCATACGCATGGTGGCTTTCTGCGGGCGTTATCCGCCATGATTCACGGTGAGTCGAAAAAACGTCAGATTATTTCGGTGATTGGCCTTTCTGGTTGAAGTGAGGCCTTCTTTTTTCCATTACAATGTTCATCTCGAATTTCAGCAGTTTTCTTTTCAGAAAAGCAATGTTTCTCTGCACTAGTTTTTTGGATATTTATTGTTGCATTTGAGGCGGGAATAACGATTAAAGTTGGTTGTTATTTGAAGAACTTTGTACTTATTAATGGCCGAAATATCGGTAATGAGATTCCTTTAAGGTGTTTTCATCTTGAAATTGGATCGCGTTCAGATGTGCCGTTCCTTCATTACCTCTGTCGTGAGTTTCAAAACAAAGCGCTGCTTTATTTTCATCCAAGCTAGTTCTTTGCATAATTAATTGCGTGATCATTTCCTAGATTTTGCAGCAAGCTGTTTACAAACGCAAGGATTGGCACCAGTAATACCACGGAGTTTAAATTCATTTTTCGGTGCGCATTGTATAGGATATCCACTAGTCATAATCTCCTTCAGTCTGCGATACTATTTCAAGTGAGTGGTTCTCGCTTTTCTTTTTGGGTTTTTCGCTCATTTTCTTCATTGCTGTTATTTGCTATGTTTCCCTGCAGCTTAGCCCTTTAGCTTCTTTATGGTTTACATGCCAAGTTTTGCTAAAATATGCATAGGGCGTTAAATAGGCTTCCAACATACTATTTCGTTCGGTTGCTAGAATAGCCCGTTTGAGCACAGTGAGGCCTTTGTTGACAGTAGGAACGAGTTGAAGGGATCTCGGGAGGTATGCAAAATCGACTCGTGTTGTGATGAATGGCTCTAAGTAGGTGAGAGAAATAAGTGGGTAAATACTGTTAACTTGGACTACAACTTGACCTAGCCACAGTTCTTCCAGATATGTGTGCAAGCAAGTAACAGTATTATAAAAACATGGAGTGTCCCGAAAGAAAAGGATTAAGTAAAGTAGTGAATTGGAAACAAATAGCGTTTCTTGTTAAAATGGTTGACTTCATTCTCATTGCCTTTCACTACCTTGCTTGATCTGTTTTTCAACACTCGCTTTGAAGGTTTATAAAGCCCAAAATTCGTAGCGCTGGGTAGGAGCTGTGGGAATGTGTTCTAACAATTCTCTTAGGTTCATGTCATTCCTTTTTATTTTCTTTCTCTTGCTTATAGAGTCTTAAAGCATTTTTTCATTTGACGTCTTTTCTCCATCGTCAAGGGGTCCATTTGTTGGCATTAACAGCCTCCCTTTCGATAGAAATTTGGCTTATCTCTTTATCATATTGTAGTTTTCTCAATCCCAATTTAATGCATGAACAGGATGTTTCGAACTTATTGTAAATTTTCAATAGTTTTCTAAAAAGCCATTTCAATTCCTCGCGCACCCAGTTATCAGTGGTCTAAATTTTGTGTTCGGATTCAGCACTTCTAATGTGCTATGGAAGTTTGCATTCAAAATATCTGTCATATTTGGTGGTATGAAAATGTTACGATAAAATAGGCAGTAAAAACAGAATTTAATGCACAGAATTATACTCGGCCGTAGACTTTTCGTTGCATTGTTGTTTTTCCCGTTCAAGTTTGTCTGTAATTGTCGAGAATTACCTTTCGAACTGCGGCATTGAAGGTCGCAGTGCATTGTGTTCACGGGTTTCGACGAAGTGGTAGTTTTTCTCCTATTGCAATAGATGGCATTTGTTGAGGGATGGTCAGCATTCCATATCGATTTTCGAGTGAAGGACTCACCGAGCGTGTTGTCGTGATGTGGCGAACGCAAATTGCTCGCTGCTGTTGTCCTCACAATGGCCGCCTAGTTTCGAGGTTGTAACTGCGCCGTTCGATATAGTAGGACAGGTGTCTTGAGAGGAGTTGCCTGGATGTTCGTCTAGCTTGAAAGATTTTGATTCGAAAAAATAATCTTGTAAAACGAGCGAGAAGGAGTGCTTTAGAGCTCTGAATGATGCTCCCAATTCAAAGAGGACGCTGAGTCATGCTGCGTCAAGTCTCGCCTTTGCACCATCGACGGGACGCAGACGTAATTGAACTGCCGAAAGAATGGGAAGGTTATGCAGGGGCCAGTGTTGAAGTGTTTCGGAAGGATGATAATGATTTTTTTCCTGGGGTGGTTTTTTGGCTTTGGAGAAGTGTGAGTTCGAAGCAGGAAGACGATCAATGGGTAGGTCATGGTGGAGGGGGATGGTATCTCTCGTCGCCAGTATTCATAGCACCCAGTTTCAGTAAAGGCGATTTGGGCAAAGGACTAAGTATTAGGTTGTCCCATAATTAGTGAATCACTTTACATTTATTGCTATAAAAATTCCAAGAAAAATCTTGAAGGCGTGAAACATGTTTTGCGAAGTAGCACCCACATTGTCCTACCTGAGCAATTACTCAGCCCATTCACATGCTGCCTTCCGTGGCTGATACTTCAATTTTTCTGGAACCTATTTTTGAGCTTCCTTCTTATCACTTCTGATTAGGATCTTTCAAACGCCAAACAACATAGAGAATCAACCAGCAGATAGGCGAGGGCACGCTCCCTCAATCCACGGTCACTTATGTTCACTCTATTCGAGAGGTTGGCTTTTTTAGTTGAAGATGACCCACACTCCAACTACCCCTCAACTGGCAATCTCACTGCTGTACCCAGCGCCACTGAGATTGGATCTGGACAAACTAGTCGCTATTTGTGAGCGATCCGACTTGTTAAACGATGGAATGTAGGCATCTCCGTAGAGTCATAAAGATTTGGAAATATTGGGTTTGTATCTCACATGCTTTGAGCTCGAATCAGCTCCAAACACGATATGAAATCGTCATGTTCCTTCTGGTTTCCCAGAGTTCCTTTCAGTGATCATCCTGCATATTCACCAGTGTTGTGAACTGGGTGGAGTGTGCTAGCAAATCCACAAGGAGCAGTAGCCTAGCTCAAAAGATTCGGGAGTTCTGACAGCAAAAGCCCAACCTCCTCTATGTCCGACACTTCTGAGATATTGGTGGAGCACGAGAGGGACCTTGCGCTGGGAACCGCCGCCCAGTAATACTAGGGTCACTGAAGAAGATCAACGTCGACAGCGTAATGGCGACGCGTTCAATTTGAAAGTAAAGCAAGACAAAGTCTGCTTTTTTTTCTGAGGTCGTTCGACCCCACCTTGCGGAGAATATTCATAAAAATTGGAGACCTCAGGCTAGCAGTTCTTCCAGCTCCGCCGTGTAGCCCTATCTGCCAGCGAAAGACAACCTAGTCTGAGTTATAGCTTCTTCTTCAGGAAGAAATTTTACGCTAAGTGACATGACCTCAAACCCGACTTCCGATCTTTCTTCGATCAATAGCTCCTGGAATTCTAGAGAAAAGACAGCGACTAAATTTCCATGTATAGGCAATACATTTGTAGATGACAGAGGTGTATGTTTAGGATGAGCAAAGACTTCATATAAAAAAGAAAAAAATTAAAATTGAAAAATGCCCAAAGTGATTCACTCATTATGGGACAACCAAATAAGATACCCTTCGATTGGTTTGCACTGCTCGGTGAGCGACCTCGATGGACGGCGATTCAGCTACCCCTGTGATCAATCTTTTTGCATTCCTTTGGGAATCGCCTAATTCCCTAAATCGTAAGCTGTGATGCTGCGTTGTGGATAATGTCAGTGGATGTCGCAGGGTCTTCACGTGTGAGCTGAAACTGAGAGGGTCGGAAGTAGGTCAGGTAGGAGAAAGGATAGGAAATCATGGGGCTGCAAGCAAAGGGTAACTGACAGAAAGCGTACGTGATTAATTTACGCCCGCAGTAAGATCAGCACGCTTAATGCTGTTTAACTACATGTATGTGAATTTGTGAGGCAATATGGAGGCTTTTGACCGCACCCCCCCCCCTCACGAAAAACCGCTTATGGGTCGCTTGTGTGAAATTTTTGCATCATTGTGGTATTAATGTGAAAAAGTTCGTTACAGGGAATGGAGAATTCGTCGAAAGCAGGATGATGTGTGTCGACGAAACGAGGTCCTTGCGCGAATGCTGACGGAAGCGTTACCGGCCGTTTACGAGGGTCCAAAGGACTACTCGGCGAAGAGCGCGTTGCTCGACGACGGTGCGATATTTTGGTGTTGTTCAATCAAATTTCTGTCTATTTATGCTTTTTCTTCTTTGCTCAGCGGCAGACGATCAAAATGTCCACGATACCCCGGGTTTCTGCCTTTGCTTTTCTGATGTCTCCTCTTCCCGTCCTTTGCCACTTTTGAGAGTCATACTCCTACTAAGGGGTCTGGTTAAGGATTATGAGGAGAGGAACTGAGCTGGCAGCTCCGTTTCTTAGACCGATAAGCCCAAAGGGACTGCTGAAGTGACTATAACTGTATTTATAGCGTGGGCATTGTTTTTTGCTAGCGCGAGAAATGGCTACCCGTGAAATGTGCGATTGAGTCATGTAGTCGTAGAACTCTCTGCCTTGAAGAAGTTTTCCTCTTCCTTCTTTTTATTTGAAGTGCACGTATTTGATTGTTTTCTACTTTAGGAAAATTATTGTGTACAGAGATGTATTTTTTCCTCTAGCGAGTTTGATAGGTGATTTGTAAGGCTGTATGAAAAATAAGCAGCTGCTCGGATTGTTGCCCTAAAATATGACCACATGTTCTTTTCCTTGGCATTCCATGTCCTTGATAATAATATCACCAGGGTTGCGCCTCACTTCCTGTGTGTAGGTCGCGTGGCAGATCCGCTCATCAACAGGGAGACCTTTGGCTCTTCACAGAGTCTATTCTTTCTTCTTTTCATGAAACGTCAAGAACGAAATAGAAGATTTCGAATAAATATAGTAGAAATTGAGGGTTTTGCAGTTAGGCGGGTGTCCTTGCATTAGACGTCCGTCCTTACCTCAGACAGACTAGATAACGACAGGCGATGTATGCAGCGCGGATTCAAGGAAGGGGGAGCGTAATCCTTCAATAGCTCCCTTATCCGGAACGCTTTTTTTCTAAGGTTGCACTTCTCATGAAGCTTTGCACTTCTACCCATGCTATCAGTATCTCCGAACCGATCGATGGTACTACTACCATGCCTCATTGACTTAGCAAATCTTAGTGGGATGTGAATTGGGATTCGTTTGTATCTTGTGCCCGTCTTGTATTTCCTTTCAGATTCATTGTTATGATCTCAAATATAGTTTCCATCCACATCGAGAAACGCGTGTGAAGATGTGATATAAACTTTTGCTTCACAAGAATGCTGGGTTGTGAACAAAACTTTCGCCCCAGGCGGGACTAGAACCCGCACCTCTCGCTTTCCGGGCAAGTGCGCTACCAGTTACGCTACCGGGGCACCATTTCATTCTCCAAGGATGACTCAAAATAAACTTTTGCATTTCAGAAGGCGATTTGCTGGAATTAACAAATGGTGCAGGGCAGGGAATGTTGATGCCACCGCCGCCGACGTCTGCTACAAATGGGACTGTTCATCATGTTCACCCTTCAAAGCGGACGTCCGGCAAAGTGAGTTGTTCTTCGTTGGCTCTTACCATTCTTTTGCTTCCAATGGCGGGCTCGTACCACTCTTTTGGTTCCAATCGTAGGTAGGTTTGCGATATAAAACCCGTCGCTATTTCAAAGAACATGCAATTATGCACTCAATGTGCTGTATGCTATTCTGTTTAGAGGTGAACGCGTCCCTCTCCCACGATACTCTTTTCCTCTTTCCCCTTTGGGAGAGGGGCAGAAGTCGAGTTCGCAGGATCCACCAGGATTTATACCTGCCCTTTCGACTGTTTGAGCAGTGCGACTCCTCCACTGCTGAAGTTCGCAGCAGCACCGGCTGTTTAATCGCAGGTCTTGCTACGTTCCTGATCCCTCTTCTTAGTGTGAAGGGGAAGGATAGCTTCAAGGAAAGGGGCACGATCCCGTCCAGGAATGCTCATAGTGGATCTTGTCACAAGATCCTCCGCGATTGTGATTCCACAGTAATCGTAGCGGGAGAATTAAGTTAGCATCGGAGAAGGGGAACTTCATCCGCGAGCAGGATAGTGTGAGGCGCTGAGTGTTCAATTCACTCTTATGTATATGCATATGCATGTTGTATCATTTTGATATGAGTGGTGGCTATTATTGACACATTTTTAGCTTTATTTTCTTTTGTCTTCTTGAAGTTAAATTTTTATTGC